AAACCTGCCTTCAGAGTTTGGAGAAAAAATAAATGGCATCTTTTTCTAATCTAATCCTGCTTCTTGGCAACTGTTTATAGGCTTTCAGATGCAAGTTCATTCTCAGACAGACCCATTCCCAGGACCTTGGATACATTCGGGAACTCAGATGGAGTGGGAGCCATGACTTTAGGGCACAGATCTTAACAGAGTTTCAAAGGCAACCATCTGACTTGAGATCAAAGAGAAGCCCACATGGGTAAGAGTAAAGTGAAGACCCAGTCCAAAGAATGAGAGCTCCAGTGATTAGCCCAGGAGTCCCAGACCCACTGTGAACCAGACACAGCTGAGAACGCCAAGTTCATTATCTCACTGAACGATTATAGCAACCCAGTGAGTATGCATTTGCAGCTAATACACGAGAACTATGTTGCTCAGAAGGACTGAACTATTCCCCCACCGCGATAGAGAAACTTGCTTGATTTGTCCTCAAAGTGTCTAACTGCAAAGAGGAATTATTTTCTGTATGTTTCCTACAGCAAGGGATAAGAACGTGAAAAATTCTATATATTAAAATAATACAGATGTGTGGGAAAAGGCAAAAATCCAAGCTGTGGAAGCCATGGGAGTGTACTCATGAGAGGGGAGGGAAAACAAACAGCATTGAGGCATTCCAAAGAGGAGGAGGAGATCTGCAGCAACTCAGCACTTCCTCACGCTCAGAGCAAAGGCGCACAGGAGCCAGGAGCGGGACAGCAGTTTACACGCGATCGTGTCCCTATGTACAGGACAGCAGATGGCTCAGCCTGACACCTGGACGATGGGCAACAGCTAAACAGCAGCGCAGCACATCTGTGGGGAAGAAGGCCCTGTGGGGGCGAGATGTCTTACAAAATCAAAGAAGAAGAAGGCTCTGCACGCCCAGTGACAAGTGTGGGTTTCATCAGAGCCCTGAGAACCATCAGCCGGGCCCTCTGAGCACAGTGCTTTTCCACACAAGCAAAGTGTAATGAGTTTGTAAATACCGCCAGAGAACAATTAAGGATGACAATGAGCAAAACTGAATCATCACAAAATTACGACTTGGTACTTTGCACCTAGGAAACTCAATTAGCTGTGAAATTGAGTGTAAGACGCAAATATTTTAGTCATCACTTTAAAATACAGAAAAGCTCATACTGAAGGAAGTACTGTCAATGAAATAAGATTAAAAATAAATCCAAAGTTAAACAATGGGTGGAAAGCTCATGAACAAAATACAGTATCAACAGTTGTTTATTTATTCTTAGGGAAACAGCATGATCATGAAATATACTAATAATTGAATTTGGAAAGCATCCTCAATACGAGATGAAGGACAAAGAAACAAGGCCATAAAAAGAGGCCGTTCGAGAACGTTATAACTACTAAGAACAAAAAATGAGCAAGCACAAAGCAAGCCTGGTGAGAGAAAGCTGGTTAGAGAATCCAACGTGCAGAGCTTGGCTGAGCAGCCCAGGAAGAGCCGTCTGATAACAGTCTACAAATATTTGAAGCTTGTAAACACCAACGCAAGAAAGGAATTACCACGCATAGAGTTCTAATTAAAAAGAATCAGATGAAATTACGACAAGGCAAACTGTGGTCTAATACTTTGACAAAGGCAAAGCTGAGCCAGGACAGCTTCCCCTGAGATCCTGGCTGAGGGAACTTTTACTCTCACTTGTGCCGTGGGAGACAAACAACGTGGTTTTACATTTTACTTCGCTATCGAGGGACACAGAGTACATGACACTCAGCTAGAGCACAGGAGAATTATTTCTATTCCGTTATCCAGAAAATGCTAAACCAGAGTCGGCAGCACCCAAAATGATCCCAGTGTGCATGCAGCATACCCCTGGGGCACGGGAATGCGCAGACACAGGGGTTGTCTACCTTTTTTTCAATGACATTAACCAACTGGTAAACACAGCCACATTCGTCCCATAGATTGGGCAGCTTCTTTTGGTAACAGAAACACTGATTGCTTCTGTCCTAATTTATCTGACTCTTATAGGGCAAGAGAAACTTATAATTTTTAATCATTTGGAGTGACATTTAACTGGCAGTTCCTAGGGAGACGCAGGTCATCTAAACTCAGACACAGCATGCAGTATCTTTGTGGCCCGTGTTCTCGTTCACACCGCGGCAGATCCTGCTAGCCCCAAGGTTGCGAGCACAGTGTCAGAGAAGTGTTCCCCCAAACGGAAAGAGCTACAGGAGCTGGAGAAGGGATTTCTAGGGGCAGTAAACCAGTGGTTCTCAACCACGGATGTTTGTGGAAACTGCCTAGGGAGATAGGAAGAAGCTTCAGTGACTGGAACCACTCCTTTTAGAAGTGTAGTCAATAGCACTCCTAGGAATATATCCAAAACACCTGTTTCACGACAAACCAACATGCATCCCTATGTTCATAGCAGCATAATCAGTAATTGCAAAAACATGGAAGCAACCGAAATGCCCATCAGCAGAAGATTGGATAAGAAAGCTTTGGTTCATCTACTCCATGGAATACTACTCAGCTATTAAAAAAAACAAAATGCAGTTCTTTGTGGCTAAACGGGCCCAACTGGAAACTATAATGCTAAGGGAAATGAGCGAATCCCAAAAGGTTAGCTACCACATGTTTGCCTTGATTTTACCTGTAATTTTTGTTTGGTTGTTTGTTATTTTTTGAACGTGTCACTGATACTGTCTCTACCCAGATGTTTTGAAGAATTGAACTTGCATTATTTTTAACATATTGTTTACTCAATACTATGTCAATTAATTCCATAATGTTGTATATTGATGCTGAGGTTTTGTTGGGGCTTTTAACTGACCGGAACTTTACTCTGTTAGCTCTACCTTCAGACCAAAGAAGGTCTCCCCAAGAGGCCACTGAACTTATCTGGACAATAAGACGCTGGACTTTATGCTAGGTATATGCTTGCAATGAAGGAATCTCAACTGAACTTGAACTGTGGTTATGCAGCAAGGTGGAGGAATCCACTATGGGGGGGGAGGGGTATGGGAGGGGTGGGGCAAATCCCCAGTGCCTATAAAACTGTATCACATAATACAATGTTAATAACAATTAAAAAAAAAAAAAGAAGTGTAGTCCTCAGCCCCACTGTACTTGCTAGGTTGCTGCGCAAAGCTCTGGTCATTCCTTCAACAAGTAAATGAAAACCTCTGTGAGTGGGGCTCAGCATCTGTACTTTTAAACCTGACCAGCAATGACAACAGATGTGTGGCCAAGTTTGAGACCAATCTCAGGAATCAAGTTTCATGTGTAAATGGGTTTTAAATCAATTTTGTACATTAAATGCAATACAAAAGTAATTTAAATAAGTTCAAACAAATGTGACTTTTTGTGAAGAAAATAAAACTACCTTCTCTTCATCTCAGCATGGCCTCATTTGAAAGCAACATGTTAAGTAGATGTATCGGTGCCGTTTAGCGAACAGTGGCCTGGGGTGCCCCCCGTACAGGAGCCCTGGCACAATCCCAGGCTCCTGGCTTGATTCTGGCCTCACTGGCTCCACTGTGACTACTGCAGGCATCTGAGGAGTCAATTACCTATCGGAAGACCACTCTCTGCTTTACAAATACAGTTTAATTTAAAAACAACCTAATCTATAAAAAAAGGAACCAAAGCACTTTTGCAATATCTGATTAATATATTACAATGTGCAGAAGTTTTGTGGCGTAGATTTATATTTAAAATTCCTTCCCAACCATGTTTGACCTCTATACTTTTTCTCTTTAGCATCAGTAAACATGAATAGGGAAAAAAAGGGTTAACACCATATCTAAATTATGTGCATTTCTGAGAATAAATATGGATACTTTTATCACCAGGTAAAAATATTTAAAATAAGGGGTACCAAACATAAAGTATAATTGGGGAATATTTACAAGCCAGAGTATGTGACAGCTCAGAGGTCTACTCTCGGAATGCATTCTCGCCTCACACAACAATTGTGTTGATAAGGTGCGGTAAGTAAGCCAGAGACGTTTCTCAGTAAATGGGAGGCTCTGCACAGGTTACATGAGTGCCATACCATTTCACAGTTCAGGATGTGACGGGTCCTGGTGTCCCAGGGGAGGAATTCGGGACCCTCCTCTGGGCCCCGCAGACTTAGAGGCGTGACACAACTCGTGTGGAAGTGCACAAGCATTCTCTTCCTAACGACAATCATCTGATTATTCAATTCAAGGCTGATTTTGTCCTTTCTTCTTCTTGCTACTTTTTTTCCTATCTGGTTTTTTACCTTTTCATTGATGTATTCAAATCTGCCTTTCCCTTTAGGCTTCCTTTGTTCCTTAATTTTTCCCATTGACTGTTTTTGACTGCCTTAAATATACTTCTAAGGTAATGTTTTTAAAAACGTATCTTATTGTTATAAAAGTTTATGTACCCTGAAGTTTTCAAATGACTTTTCTCTGAGTCATTGGTCCTTGGTAGAAAGAAGCACTTCCCGCTCCTATTCCATACTCGATTCCCTAATCTCCTTGAAATGTGTGATTGCCATCCAGCAGCCTTCTCTTTTCCAGAGTAGCTGTTGTCCTCATTCTCTATTTTCTGGCTCCTTAATCACTTCAACTCTTCTCTTTTAGACATTCCTTATTAGTTTTACATCTAGTTAAAATGACATCAACTGTGCACTCAGCCCTAAGCAGTCAGTTTCTGGCCCCAAGATAACTGTAAGGGACAGAATGTGTTTTCTGCATATAGATACAGCGGTTCAATCTTGCACAAGTTTAGGTTTCCTAATGTGTAAAGGAGAGCTCCTAGACTTGCAACCTCACATAGAGAAAAACTGAGATTGGTTCCATCCCAGGAATTCCAAGGCAGGAAGAGGGCAGCCCAGAAAGACTTCTGCTGCGGCTCCTGTGACAGTCTGCAACAGGTCCCAACGTGCCTGCACAGGGTGACAGCACAGCACTCACACTTCACCTGGAAGCTGCCAGCCTCGTCCTCCAGTGTCCCCACAATCACTGCGCTGGTAGGTACTTACTCTGGGATGCAGAAAGATGGGAGAAAGCGGCCTTGGTTCGGCCTGCCAGCCATTCCAGGCTTTCATGCACATTGGCCAAGGCTTTGAGGTCACTGACGTCACGAAGGATGTCTTGAGCAGGAATGAGTTTATCTCCCAGGTTCCCAATCAGAACTTCAGACTCCTTGCCAAAGGCTGCCCTGAGAAACAGATGAGAAACATACATCACACCTGCTCAGAAAAGGTGGGGGTGGGCCCAAGTGCTCAGGCATGCCCAGTTCGGTGACCGGTCCCTGCCAACCCACTTGAGAGGCCAGGCCTGGCCAGTCAGGTCAGCTCGGGAGTAAAGCAGCACATGGAAGATCTCTGTCTCTGAAACCCTGACTCAGAAATAAAAAAATCAATCCGTAAAGCAAGGAGGATCCCTGCCTGGTTTAGGAGAGATGCCTGATACATGGTTCCCTTTCAGTCATTTACTCACTTTTGGAAGGATCTGTGGCAAATAAGAAAGAAGCATCAAGACATTCATTCTTTGGAAAAATTAAAATCTTTGGAATCTTTTTAGTAGCTGGAAGAATATAATCAAGCATATTTCAGAGAAAGCCCAGTCTGTTAAAAATGTTCTTTGGGATTAAAAAAAAAATCAAGTTATGGGCCTGGCATGACAGCCTAGTGGCTAAATCCTTGCCTTGCAACTGCCAGAATCCCATATAGGCACTGGTTCGTGTTCTGGCTGTTCTATTTCCCATCTGGCTCCCTGCTTGTGGCCTGGGAAAAAGAGTAGCCCCCAAAAAGATGACACAGCTTTGGTACCCTGCACCCCCAAGTGAGATCAGCAAGAAGCTCCTGGTACCTGGCTTCTAGCTTCAGATGGACTCTGCGCTGGCCATTGTGGCCACATGGGAGTGAACCAGCAGATGAAAGATCTTTCTCTTCTTCTCTCTATAAATCTGACTTTCCAATAAAAACAAATATTTAAAAAAATTATTTTAAAAATCAAGTTTCATGGGGTTACAAAGGATGAGGCTGGAAGGGACTCTGGTGACCCTGCCGAGATGGGGGAAATGGGAGCTCAGAGAATTGCCTGTTTGGCCTACAGGACACAGGAGTGCCAAAGCTGCATGCGGGCCGCCCACTCTCCACAGCTCAGTGTGCCTCCATAGCCCGCTTTCTCTCTCTCAAGATTTCTCTTTCACAAAGAGATAAGCTAAAATGAGAAAACATGCCTGAGGATGAGGTAGAGAAAAAAAATCAGGTCTTTTCAGAGAAGTTAGCCCCAGGGTGGGTAAGCAAAGAGACAGGGAGGAGGTTGCAAGCAATGGCCCCTAGAGAACTTTCTGCAAGTCCCAAGGCTTTTCAAACTCCAGACACTGTGAGAACAGTTGAGGGTTTCATTGAAGAAAACCCAATTAAATGGCAAGTAAGCAGTGATTAATAACAGCTGAAACACAGTCAGAACGATGCAAACTTGACACATGGGCAGTTAGCACCCCACAAAACAGCAGCTGCTCAACACTGAGAGAAATAACTGCTGCGATGTAAATCACAGGAAATGATGCAGCGTTAACCTTATTTCACCAGAAAGCAGCACCATCTTCTTCTTTCTTGAAGGGTAGGTCACAGGGATGGGCTGACCTGGGCAAGGCACAGCTGCTGATGCCACTCAGAGCACAGCTCAGAACCGAGCATGTGCAAATGTGCCTGGGGGGGCGGGAGGGTCTGAGCAAGGCTCAGGCTGCTTCCCTGCTTCCTCAAACAGCAGGTGGTTAGGGCACCAGCTCAGCTTCCTAGGGACCAGTGCCTAGGGCTAACAGTACTGCCCCAGAGGAAGCAGCATAAAGATTAACTGGGCGACTTTACAAGCATTTTATTGAGGGACTTTCAATGATGACACAAGCAGAGAGAATGTCCTCACAGACTGCCCTGTGTCCATCTCTCAGCCACTCGCTGCTCCGCCTCGTGGTTCTTGGAAGTAAATCATTTGGGAGGTGCTTTTACCAAGTGTAACACAGCGCACTAAACTTAGCAGAAGCTAATGTTATTCTTAGGCCTGCTAAGATGGCCGTTTTGGTTAGAATGTGACAAAGAACAAAGTTAAAGCCTAAGAGTGAACAGCAGGGCGTTAGTTGCTTTTCAAGAACTAGATTATAAATGAAACCCTCTCCAACCGGCATCAATCACTGGTCTCAGAGCGGCTCTGTCAGAATCTCAAGAGGCAAATCCCATGTCGGAAACCACTCATCGCCTACCAAGCACCTACTGTCCCATGCTTTCCTTGTTCCAGATCCGTGAGGATTCTGGGGTCATCACTACATCCAACCTAAACATGAAGAAAAACAAAAAGACTCCGGGAAAGTTCCTGGTGTCATGCAGACGTGGCCAATGCGAGGTAGGGTTGCAAGAAACCCTCTTCAGGAGCCTCGGTTGGGAGGGGACTCCAGAGCCTGTCACTGTCTGGAAAGTTGCCACAGCACCTGGCACTGCAGGAGTTCTTGCACCCATTAGGCAGTGGTGGAATTCACAGAGCCCAAAGGGAGGAGACACCAGCTCCTGGGATTCCTCCCACAGGGGAGAAAAGGAAATCCTCTTTGTTTAAGCTACTTCTATTTCAAATTCCTGTTACTAGCTGCTAAGTGCAATTTCTTAATTGACACAATTGTCTGATTTACATAAGTGATGTCATCCTCAGAAAACTCTGATTTTAGAGATTCCTAGAAGGCAGTTACTGGGAAAAGCAAGACAACGTCTCCTGCATGATTTGTGCCCAGAAGACATTTAGAATACCATTCCTTTGGCTGTCACTCAGTCAAGTTGCAAATATTTAGTTTTCTTAATCTGCCCTTATATGTCGACTCTTTCAGCCCCTTAATCATCTTTGAAAGATACAACACACCCACAAAAATGCCTTCTAACTGGCTGGTTGAAAAGCAACAAGGGAGGCAAACAGCTCTGAAAGCCAGGCTTGGGGCCATGTAGGAGCACCCGTGGGTGGAATGTGACAATCATGACGACTGTATTGGTGGGGGAGCTATCCTCCTGTGGGGATCCTGGGCCTTGGGGAGGTCTGCCTTGCACCTCCAGCACTGCAGGTCTACCATCTTCCCTGGGTGGGCTGGGATTGCTTAGCTTCCTCAGAGGGGAGAGAACAGAGAAAAAGACGAACTGTCTCATGCTGAATACACAGCAGACACCCCCTTTGACAGGAATCCATAATCACCCCTAACAAGCGGGAAAGAGCAGGGAACCATGGCACTTGAGAGCAGCTGCCTGGCGGCTGTGACCATTGCACACACCATTCCTTCCAGGAGGTGTGTGTGTCAAAGAGCCTAGAGGAAGATTTTCTGTGTTACACGGACAGAGGGATGGCTTGCCTGCTTGACTACAGCTCTTTTTCAAACGCTATGATTTATCAAATAAATTATGGTATATCTATGCCATCGGAAGAAAATGGAGTGAAAGTACATAGTAGAAAATATTTATACCATAGAAAAAGGCTTGGTGCACTTGATTTTCAGCTATGACATGAAAATGAGTAAAATCAAGTGTTAGAAACAGCATGTGCTGCTTGGTATTAATAAGAACTGTGTGTCCAGAAAGATAAAACTGCTGGACATCCGAGACATCTCTGTGGGACTGGAACATGCTTTGGGTTTTCCCTAGAACTTCCACATTTCCTCTGGAGGAGGAGGCCCATCAAGAATCCCAGGGTGACCGCGAAATATGTTCTCTTTTTATTAATAAATTCATTTCCACATGTATTTATTTACCCATTACTTTCCATAATTCAGTTTTATAAGCATAGTGGGACTCCCGATGGTACTTATATGTTAGCAAAATTTTAAAGGACCTAAAAATAAACGTTACAAATTTTCAGTTGAGAAAAAAAAACAACCCCCCCATGGCAAGTGCAGAATGTGGCTGTCGCAGGCAGGTGTGCCACCTCGGGAGGCGGAGCTTGAACAGCACTGGATCAGTGGGTCCAGCTGCTGCCCGGAAGCAGCACTGCCTGCCAGGGCGAGTCCACCAGCTTCTGCTCAGCAGGATTTCCTGTTTCTAGGTCTGCAGTTTCACATACTCTTCCTCTTCTGCTTGTTAAGAACATGCACTATTTAAGGAAGACACTATATGGGCAACAGAAAAGTCATTATGTTGAGAATGCCAAGTAATAGAAACTCAGAAACAACAGGTGCTCAGTGACTGCTCAACGATGACTCGAAAAGGCCCAGAACTCCACGCGCGTGTGTTCTATGTGACGGCCCGTGCATGTGGAATCGCTTTGCTGGCCAGCTGGCCAACCCGCTCACTTGGAAGCCTCTGAGCCTGAAAAAGAGGCCGCACCTGCAAAGCTGTGATTTTTGTCACAGTCAAAATCTCTAAAAGCTCAGTCTGATAAGAGTTCATTTAAGAGTATTTTGCCAAGATTGTTAAACTTGCTTAACTTAGTTTTACCACATAATTATAATCTTTAAAGCAAACTACCTGACAAGAATTCATTTTTGAGGATTTTGCCAAAGATGCATGAAACTGTCTTCATTTCATTTTTTAAAAAGATTTATTTACTTTTATTGGAAAGTCAGATATACAGAGAGAAGGACAAACAGAGAGGAAGATCTCCCATCCGTTGATTCACTCCAAGTGGCCGCAATGGCCGGTGCTGCGCCAATCAGAAACCAGGAGCCCGGAGCCCCCTCCAGATCTCCCATGCGGGCACAGGGTCCCAAGACCTTGGGCTGTGCTCAACTGCTTTTCCAGGCCACAAGCAGAGAGCAGGATGGGAAGCAGAGCCACCAGGATTAGAATCAGTGCCCGTATGGGATCCCCGTGCATGCAAGGTGAGGACTTTAGCCACTAGGCCACCATGCCGGGCACTCCATTTCATTTTTAAGTAGTTCTGTTAACTGAAACAAAGGCAAAGAAAATCTGCCCTTTCAGCATGTTTTTCATGCAATTGTGAAAGAAACATACATGGTTTCACAAGTACTGGTTGGCAGGTCTGTGCGCTTGCTCAGCCTTCACACACACACTTGGACCTGCTTCTCTGTTCTGGCCCCTGCCCAGCTGGAAGGCAGCTGTCCCCAGAGCCTGAAGGGAGAGAATTCAGCAGCAGAGGGCCGAGCACTGGCTAACGCGGCCAAGCAGCTGCAGCTCAGAGAGCCACTACTGTCCCCGCACTGGAACAGACACTCCATCTAATTGTCTC